CGTCGGTAGAGAGAATCAAGGCAAGATAAGCACCTATCCCAACATCCCCCCAAGTACGCAAGGCAACCTCCCATCCGCAAATGGCTACTCATTGGAGACTGCCGACTGCCGACAGTCGCCGCTGCACAAGAGCGTACATGTTGGAGATAGAAAAGGCTCGTGGCACTAACCCATCCAATCCTATGTGAGGCCCGATATTCCCGTTGATATCTTTGAATGCGAGGAGCAAGTCCATCAGCAGCGTGATGAATTGACCCCCCCCATCCCAGCATATCCCACGAGGAAGATTCCCAGAAGGATCCGATGTGCGTTCCGTCTTTGGAACCCAACCAACCGAAGCCCCCTGGATCTCCGATTATTACGACTAGTTCTACCGGCAGCATGTTCTGTCAGTGTCCAAGCCCGAATCTTGTCAAACCCCAGCAAAGCCAATCCCACCAAACCGCAAGCAAGACCCAAAAGAACCAGCGGTGGGGGGGAGTCGCATCCTTCCATGCAGCCGGTCGCAGCACCGGCTGCTCGCTAGCAGTGTCGGCGCCCCATGGCTCAGGCCCGAGTTCGCTGAACTTACGAGCAACACCAATTGGTTGAGAGATGCGCTGCTGCTAATCTGGGATACGAGCCCATTATTTTCGAGAGTATGGGGGGTTTGGAAATAGGAGGGAACGAATTCCTCAAAGGGATATGTGTTTTGGTCGATGAGTGGCAATATCGTCGTCAGGGCGAGGCGTATCAAGAATGTATGATGCGGCTGAGTTTTGATCTTCAATACGGGCTCCACAGAGCGATCACCACGCATCATATGACTCATTCGGACCATATAGAAGGGCCGAACGCGGTGGAAACATTCTTGAATCTCTGAGTTTGCTGATGCAGGACCCCCTTGCGTAGGTGATTCCGCTTTGTCGTATGCGCCTCGGCCGCGGCGCCGCTTGGCGAATTGAGTGTAGAAAAGTTCTGGAGCCCCGTGTTGGTTCTCTTGCTTCTTGGATTCCTCGTATTCCCATAATTCGGGGTGGTAGCGGGTCTTTTCCTTTGGGATTGCAATGAACCTTTGATTTCGTGGATATTTGTGTGTGGCTCTCGAATGGGCACATTGAAATATAGTTCCTAAGTATTTTGCATTTTCATGGGAGCAGAATGCTCTCAGCGATGGAGGATATTTCATTCGTATCTTTATTCTATTTGGTGAATTTTGGTCGATATTTAATTCGTGCTCTTAGGAATATAAGTTTCTCGTACGGAGAGAGTAGGGATTTACAATTGGTGTTTTTAAGAGCAGAAGTCTCTTATATCATTTAAATTTCGATTTAATTTCTGATTTATTTGGGATTGTGCCTGGGAATCATGCCGAGATATATATCTCATTTCTGGATCTCCCTCCTCGAAATGTATATTTTTCTTCGTCTGATTTTGGATATTTCTTTTCTCTTGGATCGAATTCGGGGCGGTGGTGGGATCGTGCATGACCCTGGGAATGCGGAAGTATCTCGTCGTCTTATCTCTTTATATTTGATATGAAGATTATATATATTGTTTTTGATATCTATAGGGAATATGAGTCTCTCTCAATGAGATCTTAGTATAAATTGATATTTTTGGAAATATGAATCTCGTATATCGTTGCAAGTATATAGCGATGGATAATCCCACGATTTGAGATAATTAGATATATATTGAAGGAATTATATTGATTGCGATTGAAGATCCCTCGCATAGATATTGGGATAATGGATAATTTCTTGGCATCAAAGAATGTTGGTATTGAGGGGGTTTGGTATATTCTTCGATGTCATATTGATGGAAGTTCTTGATCTCATTTGGGTCATCTTCGTTCTCTTTCTTCTGATGTGATTCTGAGATCTTGGATTTGATTGGGGGAAGTTGGTGAGTTTTTAATATATAATCTGGGAGTCTGCAATAATATGATGAAATTCGTTATTTATGATGATCGGATTAGAAAAAATCTTTGAAGATTTCTAATTGGAATTTTTGGACATAGAAATCATTTATATTCGTTTCTTCCAGATATATTGCAATCCGATAGAAAATATCATTCTTGGAGGAATATCTATATGATATGGGAATATATCTGGATATTGGAATGAAATAAATAAGAATTCCATATAAGCATGGCAAATTTTAATATTCTTTTCTATATGAAATCAATAAAATCGAAGAAAATCGAAATATTAAAAGATAATTTCAGATCGATATATAATTTCAGATCGATATAGATTGGGATCTTCAGAATATCATATAAGAATTTCTCTTGGAATTATAGGATATCTCCAGAAGATTAGATTTGTATTTCTTTTATCCAATGATATCGTCTTTTCCAATTGGAAGATAATTATACGATATAGAAAAAGATCCTCAATATCATTATAATTCCGATTGATTTGATATCTTGATATTCTTATATTTTTTTAGATATTCGAGAATTATTTCGTGGATAATCAGAATATTATTCTTTGCTTATTTGATCGTCCTTGGGATAGAGGCCTTTTGAGAATATAAAAGATTTATGAAATCATATCTGCAAATAGAGAAATTAGATCATCAATATATTCGATTCTTACTCTTACTAATTTATTATATCAGAAAAATCGAGATTCGAATATTAATCATATCATTAGTCCATATCATTATTCTATCATTTATTTCTATCTAATTTTGGTCATTAGAATTTGAATTATTCCCTCTATCTAATGAAAATCTAATTATATAATATTATAATTTGAATTATATCTTTTGCCTAATGAATATTATACATATCCAATTGAGCATATATATATTTGATATTTGTTGTATCTCATATTGATGAATTTTCTATGATCCATATCCATTATATTTCATTATTGATTTCTCCTTCTATTGATCAAACCATCCATCCATTGATTTTAATTCGATCTTCGAATCTGGATATATGGTCTTTATATCTTTCAAATCATTTTCAAAAATATGGATAGCAGATAGGATCGGAATGATAGAGATAACGATCGAGATTAAATAAGAATAGATGAGAAATGATTGAAAAGAATCCAAATATTATCTTAAATTATAATAATGTAGATAATATATGAGATTAATTTAATATAATATGAAGAAAATGATTAAATGTATCCAATAAATATCAATAATATTGATAATCATTCAGATAAAGTATAAGATCAATGAAGTTTTGAATATATACGAGATCAATATAATATCGATATCATATGAAAAATATAGTTTTGTTGATCTATGAAAGATCAAATATAAATAGACGAAAATTTATGAGAAAGAATTCTCATGACTAATTTGAAATAGATCTGGAGAAATGATAAATGAATATAATATATGAATGATTATCAATTAAGAACCGTATCATAAAATGAACCCATCCTAAATAATATACTTGTCTAAAGGACCTATGACCACACAATTCGAAATTGAAATATCGTATATTGAGAGCATAGAGCCTCCATGAAGAAATTCATATCTTTATTCCATAAATTCTCAATCGATAAGACAATATATGGAATATATCCAAATTTTTAAATATTAATCATATCTATGAATGAAAAATTAGAATGAGATATGGAAAAATTCCTATTGAAGATCTCTTGGCTCATCTGAATGGGATGAGAAGAGAAAGAAATCTTAATGAAATCAAATGAATGATAATTTCCTATTTGTATTTTTTAATAGCTTATAAAGATTCTTCTGATAAGATCTTGGAATATTTCTTTTCATTTAAATTATATATGTGAGAAATTCTAAATTGAAATTTTCAAGAAATTCTAAGCGTTTCCCGAATGAAAAGAATTAAATCTAAAATCGAATAAAACCCCCGTGAAAGTAGATATAAAAAATATATCTTTTGTTTCCATATTTTATAATATTTGAATTAATGTATTGAGAATTCTTCATTAAAATCCCAATCTGAGATCATCCTATAATCCATCAAGAGATTTTATAATAGGAAATCAGAAATCATTAATATCTCAAGAATCGATTCTTGATTATAGAGAATGAAAATATCAAAAATAGAGATAATATACAAAAAATAAAGATATAGAATAAGAAATAAAAAATTCTTTCGTAAAATCCGAAGGATTCCCATCCTAATATTCTTCCTAAAATCCGAATAATCTCCCTAAAATCTCAGCAACCCCACGAAAACCCGGCCAAATACCCCCCCTAGGATTTTACTCCGCCAACCTTTTCTTCATCTTTCTCTTATCATCAATTTCGTATTCGATCTGCAAAAAAAAAAAAACTGAATCCAATCTACGAAAGGCAATATCTGAAATAGCCCATAGAATCCAGATATATTGGAGATTTTTCGAGATTCATTCTCGAAACTAAATTCAAAAGTCCTATTGGAAGAAATTTCATGAGACGATTTATCATATGGTAAATGAAGTATATAATTAGAAATATATATATATATATATTATATGTATTCAGTATTGCATCTGAGTCAATATTTTGGACTAAACACGATCAGTCTGTCCATGTTCCCATAACCTATCCCAAGGAGATTTGCGTTCTTTGGCCTGTGTGTTTTGGCAGTTGCCAATAATGCAGCGAGGATGAGTTGTAGATATGCACAATTGTCTTCCCCGCTCCAAGGCGAAATTCTGGGCAAGCTTGGGGAAACTTCTGCTCATCGGTTCTCTTCTTGAACACATGGCTTGAAGCAGGGCAGCTTAATCCTGCGGCTCACAACCTCATTGTTGCTTGCAGGCCTGTCAAGCATGGGTGCGTCAAGGATTGCAGAACCTTACTCTTCCAGCTGGAAGCCTCCTCTGGCATAGCCCCAGTCATCTCCTTCATCACCTTTGCCAACTCCTGGCTCAGGGCCAGCAGACACACAGCAAGCATACACTCAAACACAAAAACAAAAACAAAAACAAAAACATATATATATATATATACATAAGCTACAACAGACTGAAAAACACAGGCAACACACACAGAAACACACAGGAAACACGGAAACACACGCACATACAAACACACACACAAACACGCATCTAACACACAAACAAACAAACAAACAAACAAACAAACAAACAAACAAACAAACAACCAAGCAAGCAAGCAAGCAAACAAACAAACAAACAAGCAAACAAACAAACAAAGAAGATACTGCACAACAGTACCTCACTGCAGTAGCTATTGAACAAGGAACTGCCCGTCGAGAAAAACAAGAAAGCCGTGGCCTCAGGATCATCGGCAATCTTCTTGAACAGTTCCTGCGTTGCACGAATCTTGTCATATCAATCTCGTGACGTTTCGTTGACAATACGTGCCGCCCGCTATCATGTGCAGGAGCACATGGTGACACATGGTGATTTATGATGCCGCAGCACCCCTGCCACCACCATCACCCACAAATTCCCAATGCCGAACTTCAGTCCTGCTCAGGTCCAGCGAGCTGCGAGTCGAGGCCCATGTTTTTCATGAAGTCCTTGCAGTCTACAGGCTTGTTCTTTCGACATCTTCCGGCGCAGTGTCATGATATCCGAGGGATCCATAGAGTGACAACAAGTCCAGATCCTAGGATCCCAGCTAGGACCTCGAAGTTTATCACAAGCATCCCGCAAACTGATTGGCAAGCGCGCCTCGAAGGACTCAGCTCCTTCTGTGGCTTCTTGCGGGACGATCTCGCAGCACCATCATGCTATGCCATATGTATCACTGCATCGCAGAGAAGCACTGCAGAAGCAGCCTGGGCCATGACTTCTTCGGGCGGCTGCCCGAGCTGCTGCAGCTCGTTCAGCATGCGTTGCACCTGGCTAAGAAGCTGAAAAACCTCATGTAGCCAAGCTGTCACCTTCTCTGTGCAAACTTGTCTCTGCAAACGTCGCAATGTCCAGAAGTTAAGGCACCTGATCTCGGGCAGAATCGGGAAGAGGATCTGGGTTCTGCCTGGCGCAGACGCAACAGGAGCTGCTGACAGCAACACTGAGAGGTATGAAACCTGGCCGGATGCACTTGTACACACTGACTATCTGCCTGTACAGCTTCAGCTGAGCCTTCAGAGACAATCAAAAAGCAGAAAGTCGTCTCAATCGTGCACGATTCTATCTTGCACCTCATATCGGCTCTTATCTGCTTTGGACAGACCTATCAGAGGCAATCCAAACTATGCACTCGCAAAGAGGCTGACTCAAAAGCAGTGATCTTGCAGAGGCGCACCCTTCTTCTCTTTAAGATATGGCTCCAACCTTAGCCATAAACTGCATAAACGCATCATCTCAATTCATGATGCACAACAAAATGCTACGTGACATACACTTCAGCAATAATCCGCGAGGTTTAAGTTCAAGACTTATCCGCTATCTGCTGCAGCGGCTCTGTTAGAAGCTCGGTGGACAACATAGACCTGTCAAGGGCTTCAACTCTTTTCATCTCATCCAGCGGTTGGCATGAGCTGCCGACGACATCAACGTCGACATCGACTTTTCGAAGTCCTTGTCTGAGCCTGCAATGAGCATCTCACGGAATCTCTCTCCCTCTCTCTCAGCCTTCTTTCTTTCAGAGACTTCAGGCACGAGGGTTCCCCCTCCCCGGTGCAGTCCGCGCTCCGGCTCTCTTCTTCTTCTATTCCTTTCACTTCTCTTCTTCTTCTCCTTCTTATTATTCTTATTTTTCTTATTCTTCTTCATCTTCTTCTTCTTCTGCACGCTTAAGGGCACCTTTCGTGTGAAGCTTCTGCTGTGCGCCGAGCGGAGCTTAGTCAAGCTCAACCCCACTTAGGTGAAAGGACAACCACGGCTCCCAGTTCTCGGTGTGTTCGCGTCATTGCGACGTAGCACAACATATTGTGCGGACTCCCACTTGTGGCCGGCCCTGGGCCCTAGAATGCTAAGTTGTAAGTGCCAAAGGCCCGCTCTCTCCCTCTCTCTATTTCCCGCGCAAAGTGTCTCCAGCCTGCTGCCTCCTCAAAACTCTTCATGAACTTTTGCAGGACGTCCTGCCATACGTAGGATCTCCGAATATGGGGGGTCGGCTTGGGAGCTTTTAGGCTCACTGCGGACAATCCCCAACAATCAACAGGTGGTGAATGACCATTGCTGTAGGTCTGGAGGGGATTAAGGGTCATCTGCTCAGCATGATCACGGCAACCGAATTAGATGAAGATGAAGGTGCCTGCAGTTTAAGCAGCACCGCGCAACACAACTGATGCTCATCACAACTGATGCTCATGGACTTGAACTGAATGTACATCCATGGGGCACCGACCTCACCCGACGAGTCAGCAGCTGGTGACGAAGCTACGGCAGTAGAGGCCACTGCCTGTGAAAACAGCATGGCCACTGCACTTCACTGTGCTGTGGCTTCAGCAGCCTCGCTGGGCGCTGGCCTCAGCCGCAACACAGTCGAGGGTACAACAGTCCCTGGCAAGACCTTGAAAGACGTCCTTCTTAGCTTTGGGCGCTGGAGCCTGCTGCATGGCATCTGCCATGGCCTTCTGAAAATTCTCGTCCTTTTTGCACGCTTTGTGAACTTTGCACTGTGCACTTAATTCACTTTAATCATGCCCATGCTTCCGGCATGTGCCGAAAGCATGCCCCTATACATCATCCTGAAAGTTCTTGACGAGATCCTTGAAGAAGTCCTTAGCCCATGGCATAGACGGCATCGCAGACGTTCCGTTGCCCCATGTTTCAGGAAGTGCCTCACCAGGAGGTTGGCCTTCACCCGTCCTGAAATTCGACTGGAGGGAATGGTCTGAAATGTCTGAAGCAATCTAAAGCGTGCTCGCAGCACATGTCCTTTTGGCACCTTGTTGCAGTTCTCGCACGGCCTCTGCTAAGCAGATGTTGGCGTATTCAGGGCTTGGGAGCCACAAGGCGGAGCCACAACACGAGTCGAGCCTCACCGGCACTTCGTCCGCTCTCTGCGGGTGCCGCCTCCGAGTTTTCAGCGGCTAACAGTTGCTGACAGCTGAAAAATAGCTGCTAACAATTGCTGACACAATACATCTGTTTTGCACCTTAATCATTTTCCTTCACGCGTGTGTGTACGCATCTCTCGTCGACGCACTTCTCGGCCTTGCGCTCGTTGTCCAGGGCAGTTTGCACACCAGTCAGCGAGTCCGCAATCAAATTGTCCAAGTCATCTGCCTCAGATGCTACACTCAACCAGAATCCCCAGCTTCTGGCAGCCCGCCCACTGGACCTCCATCGTCGAGAGGCTGGCTCCTTGCGAGTCATGAAAAAGGGTAGGAAATCTCGCCAGGCCCTCGTGATCCCGGCTCCTGAAACTTTTAAAAGGATGCCGCCAAGCTCTCAGGAGACTACAAAACGTTCGAGGCTTGACTCGGCTTGATAGTCGAAAATGCGAACGGGCGAATGGGTGCCTGTCTCAGGGCCTTAAGTGAAGACCTATCGGACGCCAATATAAGCAACAGCAGACAATGCTCTGTTTTTGTCCACGCGCCCCATCGTGCCACCGCTGCCGCCACAACCTGCATCGCACAGCCCAATGATAAAAAAGTATGTATTCAGAATGTCTTTCAGTAGTGTGAAGTAAGTGCTTCGCGAACAGGACCACAAGCTGTGCAACAGCTCGCACAGTTCGACTCGCCTTCTTGTCGCAGTACTCATTAGTTCATTTGGCCATTCCTCGCGCCACCATACACATCCCGGCCCATGTTGGACTGTGTCTGTGTCATCATGACCTGCCGCAGGTGCACCACGTAGCGATAGTAAAGTCACGAAAGCCGACGAAGCCAACGAAAGCTCTCAACCACTGCCTTCGAGACTGGCCGGACGTAGGCTGATTCCAACTCGATCGGGGCTCGTGGATCATGCGAGTAAGTGCATGCCTGGAGGACGAGTTTGGGCAAACACACAAAACAAGTCTCAGTGAAGCCTGCAGACTGCCCTTGCATCAACCTTTGCAAAAGTCAGCTACACAGTGCCACTCATTTCTATGTGCTCATGCCAGACAAACCGAGCCGACGTATGTACTGTCTGACGAATCGCAGACACAGACAGGAACTCAACTAGTGAATGTTGGCGGAGACTTTGCCCATTCCTCGCCCATTTCACCAGCACGAGTCCCTCGAACTTCAGATACAAAGTCATTAGGCCCCAATGCTCCGCATCATAAGCCATAAGAGCCTCTTCGTACCTCCGCTGTTAGCGTGAGCCATGATAGCTGTACAGGCTGTACACATGTGCTTCTTGGCGTCTTGGAGTTTGGTGGTGTAAGCTGTGAGGCTTCTTGAAGTCAGAAGGAAGACTCAGACCTCCTCATGCCCGGTCAAGCGAAGCAGCCCCTCCCTTTTCTGCTGTGCATCTGGCCTCACGCTGTGGGCCTCTGGGGTCGGGTTTGCGGTCTGACGAATGGCGAAAAGGCGCAGCCGCCCTAGGATTTGAGCCCTAAGATGTCACAAGATCTGTGCAGCGGATCAGCCAAGCATGTCCAAGCATATGTTGCATGTCCAAGAGCATCCAGCCAGCGTAGGGGATAAGTGCTACTGGAGGCGCCTCTCCCACTGCACAAAAGCCGCGCTGATGATGAACACAGCGCAGCCTGTCTGTTGCGATCTGCGGTGCTTCTGAAAGCGCAATGTGAAGTGACGTCATGTAGTGGCGGGCACTCGCCATGTGTCGAAGCTGTAGCTTCCCCCGCCCACTAGGGACTTCCCCAAATTCACCCCAGGCCCCAGTCATGCGTTCCAAGTTGAAAGCTTCTGACTACCAGCCAAACCCTGTAAATGTCCTGTAAACCCAGTGAGGAAAGGCCTTTTGTAGCCTGGGCTCAGGGCATTGAGATGCGGAACCAGCAACCTGAGCTCGGAAAAAGATGCTTTAAAAGTTCGGAATTGCCGCGCCGCGACATGTCTAAATCTAAACATAACCCTGCGCCAATTACACTTTAGATTCTTTCAGGCAGCAATTGGTAGAAGTCCTCGTCACCACCTGAGCTGGTCGCAAACAGCCTGCCCCAACGCGTGTTGCAAAATTTTCTGTCCGAGGAGCTGTGCTTGAAGCCCTGACAGGGATGAAAGTTCAACGAGACATGTCACTGCATTCACAGCTTCAGTTCAAGAAAACCCAAGCACACTGGCAAATACGCTGTGTATATCTGTGTATATCTGTGTATATCTGTGTATATCTGTGTATGTCTGTGTATATCTGTTTATATCTGTGTATATCTGTGTATATCTGTGTATATCTGTGTATATCTGTGTATATCTGTGTATATCTGTGTACGTCTGTGTACGTCTGTGAATGTGTAGATCTGTCTATATCTGTGTGTCATGATGCAGCTTTCCAGGGCTAGGCCCGAGCTTGTGGAGTCAGTTCGTTCTTGCACCCTCGAAGCAGTGTTACATTTGCCGCGCATCAGTTGTTAGAGTGTGTCTCTGCCTCCTGGCTTCTTGCTGCTCGTCATGATCGACATGTGCATGCCCACGACAGCGACGAAGAGCCAGTTGGTTCAGGACAAGCTTGGCATGGCTTGGCCCAATCAAGGCACGCTTTCATCAGAAACTTCAAGGTCTCACAAAGCTGTCTGCGCACCCTTTGAATCGACTACACACGGGCTGCCGAGTTCGTAGACTCGAAATTGGTGATATTGACAGCATGAACAACGAAAACATTGCGTGTACTGGTGAAAGCGGTTTGTACTGGTGAAGGTGGAACGCGCGCAAACCTGCCTTGTAAATGTCGTACCACTGGCCACGCACGGCCTGCGGCATCGTGCAAGCTTAAAGTGTGAATGTGAAAAGGTGAACGGCGAACAGTGGGGACTGGACAGCACATGAGCAACTGCCAAAAGCGGCTGGTGGTGGTAATGAACGCAACATGAGGGGTGTCGCTTTTAAGTGTTCCCATCGTTTTACAGCGTTTTAGCATCAATCATCCAGGCTTGATGTCTGCAGGTGTCGCTTTGGGAAAAGATCAAGGCTATAGCACACCCAACGGCTCATTAACTTAGGCTTCGGAGGGTCGCTCTTCAAGTGTTTTCATCGCTGTACAGGGTTTTGGGCATTCGTGTCCACCCCTTACTTACTTGAATGGCTGGGGGTTTTGGCGCTTGCTCACATGCATACAGGTATCTAAAGCATCTGAAACTTGGGGATACGTGAAGCGAGCCTGGTCCAAAGAAGATGTCCGGACTTTCATTTGTCTGGCGATTGCACTGAACACCTGCAATTTGAGGAAAAAACAGCACTCCTTTTCTGCGACGTACAGACAGACACAACTCTGCTACACTTTGCTTCAAAGCACAAAAAGTGCTGTCAACTGCTCTCAAGCGGCGCTCTCATCATACATATTCAGGCTCGCCATGCATCTGAGTACCTTGAGCCGGCCCCCCACAAAGAAAGCAAAGAAACAAACAAAAAACTATGGCAATAATTAATGAAAAAAGCTTTTCCGCTTTCGCCAAAAAAACACTTTCGCCCGCCGGGGAGCATCATCTGCCTGCTCGATGCTCAGCCTTGCCCAGGCTGCAGTGTTTGCGCACTACGCGTTTGCAAAGCCTCTCTTGCATGAAACCCCAGCGCTCACACGGATTTCTCCCCAACCTGTCTCTCAGCAAAAGCCTTGCAGGGCAAAGAGGTAATCAGCAAAGCAGCGAAGCGCATCCATCCAGAGCATGCATCTCGACCAAAATCCGTGCAACAAAGCGTAACCATCTACATCCCGCCTCTTCAGCACCGCATTCAATGCCCTGCAAGTCAGGTGTTCTGCGCATGACTAGCTATTGTAGGGTAGAATGAACAGGGTACAATGAACAAACGACTTCTACACACTGCAAATATGAACCGGCCGACCTAAAGCATGCCGATCGTAATGCCTATGCATGAAATCTGGGAAATCGCCTCTGGCAACCTCTACACACGCAGTCTGACGGACCTGATGATATCATTGTCGAAAAACTTGGTTCGTGAAAGCGCTCTACAAGCCGCCGCCGCATCCTCGGGCAGCATCCTGGCAGAGGTCCAAGACAAGAAGTGCTCTTCTGGTTTCTCTTTGCGTTGTGCAACTGGTTACGAGAGAAGTTGACATGCCGTGGGATGGGGGAAGCACAAGGATGGCTCATAGGCGACATAGCGATGTAGTGATCAGGATGAATTGTAGACTGTCACGCATTGGCTCGGGGTTTGATGAACTCTTAATGGAACCGTTTCGTTGAAGCCTTGTTGGAAAAATGTAACAACAAGTACTTTCCATGGGATGCTCTGGTAAGATGATTCCCAAGCATTGCCTTGGAAGCTTTTTGAGCAACGCAGGAGCAAGCACCATCATTCTCCCAAATGTCTCCACCTCGAACAGCAAAGAGCCGAAACAGGAGGTTCAGAGTAGTGTTCTTAGGGCCAAGGACATTGCAGACATGTGGCTCCATCCAAAGTGCCCGCACTAACATCTGCATTCTCATCCTCGCTTCCCGAAGCTTCCTGCTTACATCTGCCAGACTGCATACATAAGTACTTGAGTTGGGTACCTCAGTACGCGAGAAAGCACGGCTGAAATTACCTGAGCCTGCTTCGCTGACTCGTCGAGAGATGTCTCTCGCGCATCAGCTTGACCCCGCTCCTGTGACCAGATGAGAACAAAAACGATAAGCTTTGCGGTCTAGATGCAACATGTGTGTTCACACAGCTTAGGCTCAAAGCTTTGGCTTGCAAACGTGGGCTCGGATGTGGTGACACTTGCGTTCAAGAGTGGTCACGTGTGCCAGTTCCCGCTCCTTGCTAGAAACTTAACAATCGTTAGAACATGCTAGATGCAACAAACATTCGCACACAAGTTTAGAACATGGCAATGTGCGGAATCCTCGGCATCCTCCTCGTCCGAATCCATCCATGCAAATTCCTTCCTAAGCTGCGCCCCGTCAGTTTGCAGGTGTTGCAAAAACACTGCAAGATTTACGAGAAAATAAAGGCCAAGGCAAGCCTGGCCAATCAATCTAGACAAGCTCTGCCAGGCCTCTTCCGTTTTCGTGGCTCACCTAAAACAACGTCAGAACGTGTTTCGAGAACAAGGCACATAACCTTGAAAACAGTGTCGCGTTGCAACCTGGATGCTTTTAGGCGACGCATCCTGGTTTGGTCAGTGTAAACACAATCACTGCCAAAAAAAATTTGTAAACGAAACATGCAGTGACATTCGGGCCTCGGCAACAGGGCTTTCCACCACATTAGCGAAAGCATTGCCATCTCCCGCCACAGAGTTGCTCTTCATCTGCGTTTTTCTTGCGCTCTTGGCTACCTTACATGTGCAGTACCAGGACGGGCCGCTGAGTTGTTGATCATGGTCCAAAACAAGACCTGTTTACATCTCATCTTTCAGCACAAGCTCCATTTGCAGCTCATTCGAAGATTCGTCGGACTCTTGCGCAGCGGCGCATACAGCCTTGCGCTTCATTGGCTAATCAGCAGGGGCGCCCCAGCTCATCGGCTCAATGGCGAATGGTGCAATCTGAATGTCACGTGGGAGTGCTTGATGGTGATCCTTGCTACCTTACGGTCATGCCATCCTTGGCCTTGTGTCGGCTAAGCAAGACACAACTGCAATCCTTGTTTAAACTTTACAGCACAGTCCTGCTCAACAAGTACAATTGCTGTCTAGTCTCATGGGAAAGAAGATCATAGTTGAATCCCTCAATCAGACGATCGGAACCAACGAATCGGGCTACGGCAACCACACGCACGGCTCAGGAGGAGCCCCCTGTCAATCATCTACTGCAGCCAGAGAGGCTCTGTGATGGAAGGAAGGAAATAAGACCAGCTGTCTACCTTTTTTGACTGCCTCATTCGAAAAACAGTCCTACTTGTCCCAGCGCCTGATTACAAAAAAATTTGGCTTCATGGAGTAAAGCGACGTGGAGCCAGCAAGGTCTGATTTTGCTGGCCGGCCATGACAAATTTCTGGGCGCCTCTGGGAAACAGGTAAAGCACGGGGGGTATGGGGGGGGGATTGGTTGCGATCAGGCTAATCTAACCATGGCCTTTAAAACAAGCATCGGCTCAACCGCAGTGCTGCAAACACGACGAAAACTGTGAGAAAGGATGTAACATCTCACCTGCAGATTTCTAGTTGGAGGGCTTAGGGGTTTGGGGTTTGGGGATTCGGAGTAAGAGTATGTAAAGTACCCGCCTATTTTTTTCAGATAGACCCCTTTTTTAAAAAGGGGTCTGCCCAGGTCATAGACCCCTATCCCCAAGGGCCTGTCTGGTGCGGATTCTTTGCTCGGCCTTGCGCGCGTGCGGTCTGCGCGCGTTGGCGCCCTCTCGGAAGAAGGTTCCCGGAAGGCCCTTGCTATCTCGGCATATACAGGGCGGGGCGGTTCAGGGTGGGGAAGTGTCTTTTGGCGGCAGTCTCTATCCAACGTGGAAATTGCATGCCTCGTCTTTTGCCTTGACTACGTATACGACCTTTGTGCCACGATCCGAAGACTACTGAATGCGCAGGTTCAGTTCTAGGAGCCAGATATAGAATGAACGCATAAAGTTGTACTGGGCCTCGTATAGGGTTTGAGATGGGAGCTCAGGGTGCCGGGCCTTTTCCATTTCAATTTCATTGGAAATTCTTGAGTAGTACGATGCCTTTATGCCCACTATTTTACGTAAGAAACGAATGAAATAATCATCTATGCGGTGTAGCTGTTTGTCCGTTAGCGTGAGGGAGTCTAATCCATATGTGAGGGTGGGTGCAAAGGTTGCCTGAAACATTCTCATTTTAGCTCGGTGCGAAAGGGAGCTATTCCAAACCAACCTAAGCTTCTTGTAGGCTTCCTCTGCTAGGGCCGCCCTGTGCCTAAAAAGCAACCTCAAACGCGTCCTGCCATGAAAGCATTGCTCCAAAATACTTAGCCTGCGGTGTGGTCGGGACCGTGTCCCCGTTCTCAAAATGAATTAACGGGTGCGGTCGCTGATGTTGGTCATGTTTAGGCGCTTTCCACATGCCGCCGCGTGCTCAATGGCGCTTAGAACTGATTGCAGCTGAGATGTGGTCCGAGCCATGACCAGCGTGTCGTCTGCGCATTTTAATACATAGGTCGGGAAGCCCTCCGACCATGCGTTACAGGAGACCCCCTTTTCGCGCAGAGTTTGGGATGAAGATACATGGGCTCAAAGGACACCCTTGCCCCACTTTCCCAACTGCGGTGTGGTCTGAGAAACCTTTAGTCTCAAAGGTTGGTGACGAGTATATCGAGAAACTTTTAGTCTCAAAGGTTGGTGGTTGGTGACGAGTATATCGCTGCCACTGCCCTTAGCATGTTATCCGAAACACCAAACCTGCGTAACGCTGTTATCATGGCGGCGTGGTCAAGAGAATCGAATGGCTGTTTCCAATCCAACATGTAGATTACTATCTGTCATAACGGACCATTCCATTGCGCGACGCACTATGCATAAAAAATACCTACGACCTCTTCCCCCTCGGAAGAAGTACTGCGTACTCCTAAGATGTTCTTCCGCAAGTTGCAATAGTCTGTATTATAGTAGCTGCACGCAGCTTATATACCGCGTTCAATAAGGAGATGGGTCTTTAATTCGCAGGGTCCGTGTCCGCTCCTTTGTGCAATAGATTGAGACTACGATAACATGCGACCTGGAGGCGGGGTGGTCTCCTGTGCGCCAAGCTTGGTTGAATATATCCAGCAGCTCCTGCTCTCCTTTATCATCTAGTAAGAGTAGCATTTCGTTCATAAGTTCATCTGGTCCCGGCGCTTTATGTTGTTTGAGCTTGATAATTCAAAGCCCTAGTAAGACCAACTCTACTAAATGAGGATCCTTTGCTTGAAGAGGGGGCGACTATCGCTCACTTCGGCTGTGTGGTCAGGGATAGCTGGTGGAGCTCACTGCGTGTTTGTCTGGCACGGACACCCAGAAGGGACAGGGGTCTTTACACAGGGGGGCAGAGCCTGGGCATAGACCCGTGTCCGGGGCATAGACCCCTGTCCTTTTCTGATAGGGGCTGTCCGTCCCTTACTCGTGGAGGTTCCCCGCTTTGTTAAGCCGTGCAAGCTTGTTTCAGGCATATTTGTCAAACCCATCGTGCGAGCATTGTGTTTGCAAATGCTTTCTAAGTCCAACCCATCAGCGAGTGTTGCGTTTGCAAATGGGAGGGAGCTGTCCCAGCCCGCTTGTTAAGCTGCAAGCTTGCTTTGAAACACATCAGGCGAGTTACGTTTTGCAAATTGGGGGGGAGGCCCAAGCCCTAAACCTTAAAATCCCTAAGCCAAAACCCTAAAAACCCTCAAAAGCCTCAAGCCCTCCACCCAAAACAACAAGCCCTAAACCCTAAAACCTCCGAAGCCCTAACCTAAAACGCCCAAATAACTAAACCCGAAAAAGCCCTAAGCCCCTACACCCTAAACCCCAAATCCCTTTACCCTAAAAAAAGCCCTCAGCCCTAAATCCTCGAAATCCCTTGGCAAAAACCTAAACACCCGAGAAGCCCCAAAACCCTACAAACCCCTGCACTCTAAACCCTAAAAACCGTGAACCTTACACCCAAAATCACACCTCAAAGCCTAACAAAGCCCGAAACCCAAGACCGTAGGAACCCCTGCGCCAACAAATCCCTTCTCACCCCTGAGCCCTAAAAACCAAAAACTCTAGACCCTAAAACCCAGTCTAAACCCAAAAAGATCTCTTAAGCCCCCTAAAACGCATGGAACGTAGCGCGTGGTGGCCCCCATAAGTTCGCGGCCTGTCTTACCGGTCCAGGCTCCATTTCCCGGAGGACTAAATGCTTCCCCAAACAACCCACAACTTCTCCTTGTGATGAGGAAGGCTTCATCTGGCGAGGGCGTCACCCCTCGGGCCACGCCCACTCATATCCAGGGCAAGACAAGGTCATCCGGGAACATGTCATTGCCTGTCAAAAATCCTGACGCACGCAGGAGCTTTGTCAAGGGCCATTTGCATCACTGAGAGTTGCATCTTGAGCGGCCTCTTGACTCGGAGCAGAAGAGATGGTGGAACCACTGCGCTGATTGAAGCAATTTCCGCAAATATCAAAGTCACAGACGCACCCCCAAAGCAAGCGCCGTGTGGCGAACTCCTTTTGCACACACTGCACCACCAATTTGGTTCAGGGTTCCGCAAGGTGTCCCACCTGAGGAAGATGAGCCCGCTGCAGCCTGGTGTTAAAACTCGCTGAATGTGACGCCGACAATGTCAATGAAGTTAGCTACTGCGTGTTCTGCAGCCTTTGCCCGCATCTTCGACAGCGGCTCTATTTGGGTGTCCCTTGGAGAGAAAGGTTTGTGTCAGGCACATTATGTTGTTGCGGCGATCCCGTTAACCGCTGTGTTGGAGGGCCCAGCTCTGCCAGCATGCACTTCTCTGGCAGAAACAGTGGGGCTTCAGTTGGCAGGGGAGGTTCTCCCTCATTCTCGATGCCAATTGTTGCTTCCAGTGCCCCAGGCAATCCTCTTGGGCCACGAAAAGGCGTCCTACTGGGCCCT